CTACAACTTTTCAACCACACATTTAATCAACTTTTATCAAAATCTACTAAAAATCTGATTTTAATCCCCACCAAACAGGGACTTAGTAAATGTACATGTATAGATGTTCTCATTTTCTTTGTAAAGTTGAGTTAGCTCTTAGTCGCTCTAATATGTTGCAAAATGTGATTTTAGCTTATTGTTTGGGCTCCAACAAGAGAGAGGGCAATTGAACGCATGAAAAGGGCTCTTGATGACACCATCATAACAGGTAAATCGACTGGCATTTATTTATATATTCTGTTAGAATTTGTTACCTTGATTGGTGACAAAGCATTACATGTGAGTTTGATCCTTTGTCTTAGTCTCCTGTCGTTGTGGACTACATTATAGATTTCAGCTTGGTCAAGAGATCCTTGCATGGTCCAAATGGTTGGTTATAACTTATAATCCATAAAGGATTTCGTCTTATAAATTCTTCCTCTTCAGTTGCAACATCTGTACAAGGGGTTAAATAACTTGGTTCCACCCAGTGAATGAGACACAATATCATGCCTTTAACTATTTTTTTCCTTTTGCTCTTTTCTTATTCGTCCCTTGGCTTTGTCCATAATCTTTTAGTTCTGCTAATTGTTTCATAGCTTGGTATTTATCTGGGCCCTCATCTTATTTGTTAGTGTGTTAGGTGTGTTTGCACATACACTCACAAAATCTTGAGACTTGTCAAAATTCTGATCTCCTTTCACAATTTGGTCAACAACTGGATTTTCATATTCTTAGCTTTCATATTGTATGACTTAACAAAAAGTTAACTTTTGGCAGGGGTTCCAACAACAATTGATTACCATAAGCTTATACTTGAAGTTGAGGTATATAAATTTTCTTCTTGTGAAGGCTTCCGTTATCTCTAAGATCCAAAAAGATTTTCTTCCTGCGAAGACCTCTTAAGATCCTCGTGAATTTGAATTTACATTAATTTATTTCCATGCCACAGGACTTCAAAAATGGAAAAGTCGACACTGCTTTTATCCCAAAGCATGAAGAAGAATTAGCCCCGGTAAGGAACTTTATTGGCCTCTTATATGCAAACTAATTTATGTTTCATTCTCTCTCCTTCACCGAACAACTAGCCCTCCACTAATACCATGTGTGTATATGTGATAACTTAAAAAGCTAGCCGCCTTTCTGAAATGAGTCTCATTGGATACCGGCTTAGAATGGGATTGGTCAATGAATAATGATGGTGGTGATTGTAATTTCTTGTCGTTGGTAATGCTTTTAAAGTGTCTGCTTCTCGAGGTTAAAAAAATTGGCACGATTCTAACCATTACACGATATCTAAGAAACCAACTAGATTTTTTTGATCTTCCTCATCTCGATTCTCTCTTCTTCTTCTTCTTCTTTTTTTTTGTTAAATTTTTATGTTACTTCGACCTGTCATCACATCTTCGCCATCCAATACTACTTTCTTCTATTTTCTTGTTCTGTGTGAAGCAATGGCAAATAGTTAGCAGCTTCAGATCTATTATATTTTATCTGGATTTGCATAAACTATAAACTTGTGTGAACATAACGTGATATTCACTTTCACTATATAATGCAGCCTCAGCAAGAAGAATTAGCATCTGCGAAGAAAGAGTTGGCAAAGGCTTCTACTTGAAAAGTTTTCTTTTCGGAAGTGGGAGCAAAGTTTCTCTTAGTACTGGACTCGGTCCTAAATATATAAATTGTTTGTTTGAAACCAGCATATTTTTGTTCGAATTTATTAATTTATATGTAACAAATAAAAATGTTTTATACTTTGCCCAATTATTGCCAAATGAGATTAAAACCAAGAAGCATTGTTTTCAAGTTGAACCTATTTAATCAATCGTGTTTGGTGTACATCATTATCTACACCTTTGTTTACATTATGCCACTTGTCATTATTTAATTTGATAGTTTAAAAAAAACTATTTTTTCATCAACTTATTTCTTGACAACACATCAAGAGTCAACATGAGTGTACACAATTGATGTACAAATGAAATAGCCCTTTAATTTTTCCTTCAACCAGATAATTACATAGACCTCAATTTCAGAGACATCCCTTCACTTTTTAAAAATTGCAGAAACTCCCCCTCTTGACACGAACTTCCCTCTTTGTCCTTCTCTTAGCTATATTTAGAATTATACTTATTTTCTTATTAGTCAATATCTTGATTTTAATTAAGTAAAAATAAATTGTTTTATTAGTTTAAAAAAGTTTATTTTTTAATCTTTAGTATATAGTGATTTCATAACTATTTTTTTGTGCAAATTACTCTTTAAATAAGATGAAATAACAATTTCGAAATCATATAAAAAGGTCAAATGGAAAATGTATATTACTTTCTATTGACCGGGGAATCTGTTATAGAAAGTAAATTTAAGGGAGGTTCATGTAATTTTAAAAAAGAGAAGGAATCCCTGAAATTATCATAAATTTCAGTAGAGGTTCATGTAATTTACTATTTTTTATTCTTTTTACGATTGGAGAAAACATTTCTATAGAAGGCAATTGATCATCGTTCCAAAATCTTGGAAAATCTAAAGATAAAATATCTTTTATAAAGTTAATATTAAATATTAATTTTCATAATGGTCAGTGGTGAAAAATAGCTATTCTTTTTATTTGTTAGTTTCCAAGGCCTTGATATAAGATGTCTTGATATATTAGAACGATGCAACATGTCACGTCGGCCATGTATGTACCAGGAGAACGACTGTCGCACGTACATGACGCACGAACATGACTGACGTGGACCTGTACGTGCAGCATTTTTTATATAATCACTGTAAAGGACCTCTTTAATGCCATGGACCATTTCTAGCAGTTTATAAATAAATTTCATACATCATAATAATGTAACATGATCGCATTAATAACATTACTTGGGAACCAGCATATCAACTGCTAAAGAATATTACAAATTGCTTACACACTTCAACCCATACGATGATTTC